TACCTCCAAACTGCAGGACCACCTGTGCCTCCAGGTGGCTCCCAACAGTTGGACAAAACCACACCGCTTCCCCAGCCTTCTGCGGTGAGCACTCAGGATGTGGAAGCCGGATGTCAAAAGTTTAAATCAGCTTGGTCTATGATCCTAAATACCAACAATAGAGTCCCCAAAGGGAGGTGTTCGGGGTGAGGGCCTGGTTGAGAAGATAAACACAGAACTTGCTCAGGCTTGTCAGAACACAGTCCAGAAATGGAGTCATGGGAACAGAACTCTGAGTGCTTAAGTAGACCTCCAAGAAAACAGAGAAATCTTATGAACTCCCTTTCTTCAAAACATGGAATTAACCAGATCATGGTGCACGCCTTTAATCCCAGCACTCAGGAGGCAGAGGCAGGTGGATCTCTGTGAGTTCAAAGTCAGCCTGGTTTACAAAGTAAGTTCCAAGACAGTCTCCAAAACTACAGAGAAACCCTGTCTCAAAAAAAAAATGGAATCTTTCTAGGAATGTGGTTTTGTGCTCCTCCCAGGTGCAGAGGCTAGCGGGGAGTCTGTTTAGATTATCTGTTATTGCTTGATGCTGCTATTCAATTGAATGTTTGCACCTCTCTGGAAAATCTTGGTTTTGCCACATGTGACACATCCTTGTGGCTGTATCGAGCTTGTTTTTTCGTTGTTGTTGTTGTTTTGTTTTTGTTTTTGTTATTGTTTTTTGCCATGTGGGACACGTCCTTGTGACTGTATAGAGCTTGAACTTACCAGAACTTTATTCTTTTAGTATTTGCAGACAGGTTTTCTTTCTGCAGCCTTGGCTGTCGTCACAAAACCTTTCTTAACCCTCAGACATTATATTGTCAGGGACTTTGAAAAATATTGGCTATTGCATTAGATTTTAGTCCACCTAAAATATCAGCTCCTTTGTCCCAGGTCTCACTGCCTCTGGAGCAAAGGCAGGACTCTACCTTGACCACACCTGTAACAGAATTCTGCTGGGCTGGCACCAGAGGGTCAGCAAGCTACCGCCGCTGGTCCAGGTACCTAGTGTAGCTCTGGAGTCAGCACCCAGTCCCTAACCCATCCTTTGTGTTCCAGATACCTTTTTGTTGCCCTATGTGAATCTCATCTGAGAGGTTCCCATGAATACAAAGCCTAGGCAGACTTGGCTATGGGGAAACCCAGAAAACCGTGGTACCTCATAAATTAGGTATTTGCACTTGGCAGTGTAGTTTGGACACTCCACTTGGTTTGAGATATGGAAATCTACTAGCTAAAGTATAAACATAGGAAAAAAATAAAAATGCCAAGAGGCGAAGGGAAAGGCTTCAGTCCAAAGAGGATGAGCCCCCTGCGGCCACAAAGCCTAGGTTTATTCTCAAGAGTCTCTGAGTCTTCATTTCGGGGACCCATGTGAACCCGCACACCCATGCCGCCCTACGGGTGACACCAGCCCCTCGCCGGGCATTCTCGGCAGGACTCCACCTCTGAGCCACAACACTATTCCCTGGTTTCTTCAAATACTGCATTGCATTCATATTTATTGCTATAACTGTTTTGAGTCCAGAATATCAGACTATCATCGGAACCCCCTGAGTCATCCCTGACCTCGCCCAATGGTTATGTCTCCCTCTTGCCGTGAGCTTATACGCCTGGGTGGATGGTTGTAATACAGACGGCATAGTGGGAGTTGTACCATCGGATGCGGAGTGTTGCATGCCGTGGAGTGATGGGTAAGGTCCCAGGCTGACTCCCAGAGCCTGCTGAGTCCGCTCAGCACCCCAAGGTGGTCTCTGTGGCTTCAGCTCGCAGTGGTGAAGGACGGAGAGCGAAGAGCCCAGCTGTGTCCTCAGCGACCCTGAGCCTGCAAGCGCTGCATCTGCAGGATCTGGCTGAGAATGCACTGGACGTCTTCATCCATCTGTCCCTGCGGTGAGGACGCTGGTGAAATCCCCCTACACAAACCCAGGGGACTCAATACTCCACAAGACACGTCTGTACACAGGGTCGTTCCCAGAAGCCACAAGGCTACCCCAGGGCAGAAGAGGCCCAGGCAGTGGCGGAAGAAGGCTGAGGCCGGGTTGGCCCCCTGAGATGGAGTCAGGAGGCGGGCACTCACCTGAATGGCATACAGGAGATGGGTACGGTATAAAGCCACCACGGCCCCGTGCTCCCGGGCCTCCTCCTGCAGACACAGAAGCGGGGAGGCAGAAGGATCAGATGCTCAAGGTCATCCTTGGCTACATAGTAATTTTGAGGTCAGCTTGGGCTACATGAGACTCTGCCTTAAAAGACAGGTGGAGCGGGAGGAAGGAAATAGGGGGGGGGGGGAGGCGAGGAATGGGAAGAGGATTTGGAAGGGGAGGCCTATCCACGACGAGACACACCCACGTACCTCCACCTGAGTCAAAACCCCATGTTCACTGGCTGCTGGTGTCTGAGTCAGGGATGTGCCCCTGAGGTGCCCTGACCAGCCACCCCCATCTGGACGGCGACTGCTCCCGTACCTCCATGCGCTGCTGCAAGGATGCCACCTGGCCGCGGAGGGCTTCCTCCTCCGCAGAGCTGGCAGGGGCTGCCTGCTGCGCCTTCAGAGACTCCTTCAGTGAGAAGACTTCTTTGGACAGTTCTGTGATCTGGAAGGGTGGAGGAACTCTGAACGGTCAGGCAGGGACCAGGGACCTCTGCACCTCTACTGGGCAGCTTCATAAAGGGTCACAGACTTGGGCCAGGAGCTGAGCTGACTGGGAACTTGTATCTGTACAGTCAAAGAGCTGACAACATTCCTCGTTGTTTTTTTGTTTTGTTTTGTTTTGTTTTGGGTTTTTTTTGGGGGGGGGGGTTTTGGTTTTGGCTTTGGTTTTTTGAGACAGGGTTTCTCTGTAGCTTTGGATCCTGTCCTGGAACTAGCTCTTGTAGACCAGGCTGGCCTCGAACTCACAGAGATCCTCCTGCCTCTGCCTCCCAAGTGCTGGGATTAAAGGCGTGGGCCACCACCGCCCAGCTCCTCGAACTTTTAAATGTTTGGGAAGAATTTTGTGACCCTTGAAGGGATTCCAAATCACATTTTGATGTTCATCGATAAAGTTTTATCAACACGTCTCTGTCTGCTCACAGCAACAGGAAGCAGACAACCTACAGATTAGCAGATACTTTGTCATTTTTGGCTGGTCATAGCAAAACACCCTACTCTTCCGGTTCCTGTCAGCCCATCTGGGGAACACGAGATTCTAGAGCTGCCTGGTTACAGTCAGCAACCCATAAAAACAACTTAGATTTTAGGTTCATGTTACAGGAGGCCCAAGGCTGACCTGTGACCTCCACACACGCACGTGCACACAAAGAGAACACAGAAATGATACAATTGGTCAGTTGGCTCACATGCGGGAGCCCAGGCACTTGGGGCCAAGCCTCTCTCTTGTCTCTATACTGAGTTCAATCCCTGGGACCCACATTGTTGAATGAGAAGACAGATTTAGGCAACTTGTCCTCTGACCTCCACACGGGCATGTCCCAACCCCCAACTAAAGAAATACATATAATTTTAAAACTTTCTAAACATTACAGGCTCCGGGAAATTTGGGTTCAAATCCTGGCATATGATCCATTTAGTGCTGTGTGACCTTGTGTAACTGGATTTACCTCTCTGTGCCTGTTACTTCAAATGGGGATAATTAGAGCGGTAAGCGCGCCATACCAGTTAAGATGGTTACCATGACCAGTTGGAGCATCAACACCCATAGTGGCTCTTCTCTGCATCTCACTCTGCCGTTTCACAAGACAGTGCCGGCTACGAGGTTCTTCAGTTGTGTGTAACCTCGGCTGAGTGGGCCCCAACAGAGAGCAGGAGGGAACCCACCTTCTTGTCCTTCTCCTTGGCCTTGTCCAGGGCCTCCTGGGCACGGCTCTGGGCCTGGCGTGCCCTCTCGGCCTCTGTACGAAGCCCCCGGAGCTGCTGTTCGGCCGTGGCCAGCTGGGCCTCAGCCGCGTGCCTCTCGCTCTTCATAAACAATGCCTCACGCTGCACCTGTGGCCCAAGCCCACGCGTGACTCTCGGGACCTTTAGACCCCAAAGAGGCTTGGATCCTGGGGCTCTGCCCACCCTTTCATGATGAGCTGATGGCTTTCCACCTCCAGGAAAGTTCTGGATTCCCACCCAACCCTAGGATCCCTCGGGTCCTGCCATGCGCCTCTGGTTACGCGCTGTGTGTCCCTGGGGTTCTAGCTTCCTCACTCAGTGATGCCGGAGTGAGATCCAGGTACTCAGGAGGCTGAGGCAGGAGGATCATGAGTTCAAGGGCAGCCTAGGCAACTGAGAGAGACTGTCTCAAAACACATACACACTAATAAAAACAAAACAACAAACATAAAAACAAAACAAACTCATAACAACAACAACAACAAAAAGGCCAGGACTTGGGGACGGCTCAGCGGGTAAAGGCACTTGCAGCCAAGCCTGACAACCCGGGTTTGGTCCTCAGGACCCACATGGTGGAAGGAGAGGACAGGGTCCCACAGGCTGCCATCTGACTTTCACGCCTTACTGTGTGTGCACACACATAAAGAAAGAATAATCAGTTAAATCTAAATAGAAATATTACGGGCTGGAGAGGTGCCTGCTCTGGCGCAAGACCAAGGTTCGGTTCCCAGCAGCCACATTTTCGGCTCAAGTGTGCAAATCCAAAGTTCCGGCAGATCCGACGCCCTCTCTGGGCCTCGCTGGCGCTGGCGCTCACCTGGAAGACTTCGGCGCTCGTCCTCTCGTGCTTGCGCGCCAGCTCCCCAAGCTGCGCCTGCAGCCGGGTCACGTGCTCGCGCAGCGCGCCCAGAGCCTGCTCGTGCTCGTCCGC